TTGCAAAAGAATATGCTAATAGAGAGAGATGTCAAGTATATATTGTACCTCCAAGACATAAGGAAATGATTGGAAAAGAATAATAATGTAACTGAAATATTGATGGCATTTTCTGATTAGTAGGAAAATTTGTCACTGCTTCTTAGATAAAACCAATGTAAAAATTAATGTAAAATATGGCAAACTACACAATACTAGAGAAAATTATCTTATTAGCTGTATGAGTGACTATTAATACAAAACTGGAAAGAAATTCAAGAAAACTATTTTTTTCTTTTTCACCAAGTAATTTGCATGTTAGAGAAGAATTTTGAGGTGGGGGAAGATTTCAAATACAACTTTATCATGCACTGCAGTTCAGTAAATTTTCATTATAAGTGAAGAAATGCCTCAGGTGATAATGAAGATTTACTGCTTGCATCTATTAAATTTGTAAGAAATGAAGAGTCACAGAGCAAATGTTATATTCAAAATTACTGACAGTGGATGTGAATAAACTTCCATTACATGAAACCCTTAACATTCGTGGCAAACAGCTCATTTCTGAGAGCCATTGCCTCGGCAGCAGAGGGACAGCAGCCACGCTGAGTGAGGCGAGCAGACAGCAGCAGGACTTCACGAGGCTGCAAAGGTGTTTCAGCAATTGCTTGTCTTACTCTCCACACAAGGGTGCCAGGAACCACGGTGAAAGGTCACACATCGCCAGCGTTGTTGTTACCGCTCCCGGTGACATGGAGAGTGCTCCCGGGATAATAGGTTATTTTGTGAACTGTGCAGTGACAGTGATGAAGTGTTTGTGTGTCTTCTTCTGTACAACACAAGAAGTAGCTCTGCTAAGGAGAATTTTTTTAAAAAAAGTTGTTCACTTTTTGATGCTATTAAATAACTTATTTATTTTCCTGGTTTTCTCATGTAATTCTTTTTCAGGTGCACACAAGTGTTTATTTCCATAATGACTCAATTAACCAATGTTAATTAAGCAATTTTTTTGCCAATTCATTACTAATATAAAATGAAACCATCTTATTTAGAAATGCCAAGGCTCAGAATAAATAACTTTTAAATGTAGTCATTGAAAAATTATATGTTGAACCTGAAATATAAATATGGGATATATTTTTCAGACATATTTAAAATGTTAAATGGATCCTTCCTAAGTTGTAAGGAAATTAGATAATTGAAAAGGGATTATCAATAACTGTATTATACATAAGCTCACTCACTGAAACTTGCATAAGTATACACATACAGGTTCTAATTTAGAAATATATTGCTCAGGTAGATACTATGAAACCAATACATATTATGACATTTCCAGAAGACAAAGGGAAGAATAAAGAGGCAGAAAGTCTAAGGAAATAATGATTGAAAACTTCCAAAATCTGAGGAGGGAAATAGATATCCAGATTCATGAAACCAAAACATGTCTATGTACCTGAAACCTGAGTAGGCCTACAACAAGACCCATTATAATTAATTTGTCAAAAGTCCAAGACAAAGAGAAATTTTGAAAGCAGCAAGAGAAAAGCAACTTGCCATATACAAGAGAACTTTCATAAAACTACCTATGGGTCTCTCAGCACAAACCTTGCAAGCCAGGAGAGAGTGGGATAATAAACTCAACTATTGAATTTATTCTGGCAATGAAGAATACTATACTTCTCAAAATACCTTCAAAAATGAGGGACCGATCAAATCTGTGCCAGATAAACAAAGACTTAGGGAATTGGTTACCGCTATACCTGCTTTCAAAAAGTGCTGAAAGGAAGTCTTCTAGTTGAAATTTTTAAAAAGATATTAAATAACACAAAAGCTTATTAAGGTACAAATTTTACTCATAAAGATAAATACGTGAACAAACACAGAACATCATAATACTTTAGTGGTGTACATAAATCCCTTTTAACACTAGAACAGTTAAAAGAAACAGGTATTAAGAATAACTATAAGCGGCCACCGCCCGCTGGGCCAGAGGAGGTGGAGCTGGCGCTGTCCCGGCTCCGGTGCGGGGAAGCAGCTAAGCAGGCGGCGCGGCGGCTCCGGCGGCCGAAGAGGCCAGCAGGTGGCGCGGCAGCGCGAGGAGAGCGCGCCGTGGAGTGGGCGCGCCCGGCGAGAGGAGTCCACTGCATGCGTGCGGGCCAAGGCCGGCCCCTGCGAGCCGCCCACAGGAAGAAAGACGTGCAGATCCTGCTGGTGGGAGAACCTAGAGTTGGGAAGACATCGCTGATTATGTCTCTCGTCAGTGAAGAATTTCCAGAAGAGGTTCCTCCTCTGGCAGAAGAAATAACCATTCTAGCTGATGTCACCCCTGAGAGAGTGCCAACACACATTGTAGATTACTCAGGCTGCCTTTAATATTGGTTGGAAACATATCTGATCTGGTGGAATACAGTAGTATGGAGACCATCCTTCCTATTATGAACCAGTATACAGAAATAGAAACCTGTGCAGAGTGTTCAGCGAAAAACCTGAAGAACATATCAGAGCTCTTTTGTTATGTACAGAAAGCTGTCTTCATCCTACAGGGCCCCTGTACTGCCCAGAGGAGAAGCAGATGAAACCAGCCTGTATAAAAGCCCTTACTCGTATATTTGAAATATCTGATCAAGATAATGATGGTACCCTCAATGATGCCGAACTCAACTTCTTTCAGAGAATTTGTTTCAACCCTCCATTAGCACCTCAAGCTCTGGCAGATGTGAAGAATGTAGTCAGAAAACGTATAAGTGACGGTGTGCCTGACAGTGGATCGACACGGAAAGGTTTTCTCTTTTTACACACACTTTTTATCCAGAGAGGGAGACACGAAACTACTTGGACTGTGCTTCGACGATTTGGTTATGATGATGATCTGGATTTGACACCTGAATATTTATTCCCCCTGCTAAAAATACCTCCTGATTGCACTACTGAATTAAATCATCATGCGTATTTGTTTCTCCAGAGCACCTTTGACAAACATGATTTGGATAGATACTGTGCTTTGTCACTCGATGAGCTTAAAGATTTATTTAACGTTTTCCCTTACATACCTTGGGGGCCAGATGTGAATAACACAGTTTGTACCAATGAAAGAGGCTGGATAACCTACCAGGGATTCCTTTCCCAGTGGATGCTCACGACATATTTAGGCGTACAGCGGTGCCTGGAGTATTTGGGCTACCTAGGCTATTCAACATTGACTGAACAAGAATCTCAAGCTTCAGCCATTACGGTAACAAGAGATAGAAAAAAGTAGACCTGCAGAAAAAACAGACTCAAAGAAACGTGTTCAGATGTAATGTAATTGGAATGAAAAACTGTGGGAAAAGTGGAGTTCTTCAGGCTCTTCTTGGAAGAAACTTAATGAGACAGAAGAAAATTCGTGATGATCATAAAGCCTACTATGCGATTAACACTGTTTATGTATGTGGACAAGAGAAATACTTGTTGTTGCATGATATCTCAGAATCGGAATTTCTAACTGAGGCTGAGATCATTTGTGATGTTGTGTGCCTCGTATATGATGTCAGTAATCCCAAATCCTTTGAATACTGGGCCAGGATTTTTAAGCAACACTTTATGGACAGCAGAATACCCTGCTTAATCATAGCTACAAAGTCAGACCTGCATGAAATTAAACAAGAATATAGTATTTCACCTACTGATTTCTGCAGGAAACATAAAATGCCTCCACCACAAGCCTTCACTTGCAACACTGCCGATGCACCCAGTAAGGATGTCTTTGTTAAATTGACAACAATGGCCATGTGCCCGCACGTGACACAAGCTGACCTCAAGAGCTCCACATTTTGGCTTCGAGCAAGTTTTGGTGCTACTGTGTTTGCAGTTTTGGGCTCTGCTATGTACAAAGCATTATTGAAACAAAGATGATTAAAAAAAGTACTGGCCCTACCAAAAACAAATATTTTTATGTACATTCTGAATGCTTTAAATGCTGCTAGAAATATTGAGATATTTACACATGCAGAGTTACTTTATTAATATTTGTAATTCATGTATCAGAGTATTTTTTTTTTTTTTTTTTTTTTTAAAAAAGGGTCCCCCCTTTTTGCCCGGGCTAGAGTGCCGTGGCGTCATCCTAGCTCACAGCAACCTCAAACTCCTGGGCTCAAGTGATCCTTCTGCCTCAGCCTCCCAAGTAGCTGGGACTACAGGCATGCGCCACCATGCCCGGCTAATTTTTTCTGTATATTTTTAGTTGTCCGATTAATTTCTTTCTATTTTTAGTAGAGATGGGGTTTTGCTCTTTCTCAGGCTGATCTTGAACTCCTGAGCTCAAACAATCCACCCACCTCGGCCTCCCAGAGTGCTAGGATTACAGGTGGGAGCCACCGTGCCCAGCCCATAAGAGTATTTTAATGATAGTTATAATTACAGTATTGGCTAGCATATAGAAAGAAAACAACTAACAGCCAAACTAAAATGGCTAAATTTCAGAGGCCAAAAGGGAATATTTTGTAAATAATGTACATATTCAAGCAAGATATGGTCTCCCAAACTGAGTACTAGAAATGACATTTCTAGACGTTTCTACATGATATTGTTAGTGCTCACTGTAAGGTTTTTGGATGGGCGGCGGCAGAGAAAGAAAGATGAGCAGGGTTAAAAGGGCAAGCACCTAGGCTTTATTGGGGGAAGGGGAAAAAGAGCGCCCCTGGGTGAGGTTCACGGGTCCCAAGAGAGAGGGGCCTGAGAAGTCGCGCTGCCCAGAAGTGTTGAGTGGGCTTATAAAGGTTTTAGAGTTGGGGGATGGGGGTTTCTCTTTGGCCTGAAGTTTTGGTGTGCAAAGTGGAGAGTTCTCTGTTATAGTCTAGGGCGGGACTCATGGACTCCTCCTTTTCTCTAGGGAGGGGAGGGGTGCCCACCACCAGCCTTACATTCTGGCCTTTTGGATATGTTGGGTGCCACTCTTTCTGACTACTTCCTGCTGTGAGGGGTCGTAGTTAGGGGCTATGGGCCAGAGTGGGCTGGTGGAGGGGTAACTGGTCAGGGGGAGCATGGATGAAGTAGTTGGTTTACTGCCGCTCGAGATAGCTCCTGTAGGTGGTGCTGGAGGAACTGAGCTAGCGAAGTTAGTTGTCTTTGTAGTGAGGCCAGCAAAGCAAACGTGGTCTCTAGAGTAATTTGTAGGCAATCTGTAAAATCGTATAGAGTTAATTGAGGGACTATTATGACAGGGAAACAAGGACCTCGGGTGGATGTATTGACACAGCGGGTGAGTCCCCAGGGGAGGGACTCGCGTAGCTTAAATCTCCAGACATAAATTAAATCAGGAGCAGCTGTTGGAAGGGCCAGAAGATATAGAAGCCCGCATAAGACGGAGTTTAGTGGGAGGAGTAGGATGGGGAAGCATCTTGAGGTGGGGACCTTTTGATGCGTGAGATATGACGTCAAGAACCGTTAGGGTCATTTAGAAGTTTTACAGCTGTAGGTGTTGTTAAAATGACTGTATGGGGCCGCATCCACCAGGGCTCAAGGGGCTTAGGGTGAAGGGTTTTAAGAAGTACGGAGTTGGCTGGGCGAGGTGGCTCACGCCTGTAATCCTAGCACTCTGGGAGGCCGAGGTGGGTGGATCGTTTGAGCTCAGGAGTTTGAGACCAGCCTGAGCAAGAGCGAGACCCCGTCTCTACTAAAAATAGAAAGAAATTAGCTGGGCAACTA